CTCTCCCCAGATCCCTGCCCTGGCCCTGCCTCCTCCCCCAAGCACGTGGTGTTCCCCCTACTCTCCCCTCCCTCCCAGGCTTGCCGCATGAAACAGCTGTTAAGTGGCGCAAGCCCTGGGAGGGACGGGGGAGAAGCAGGACCCAGCGGCACGCTCAGGGGAGGAGGTGGAGCAGAGGTGGAGGTGAGCTGGGGCGGGGTGGGGAGCTGTCGGTGGGTGCAAGGCACCCACCAATTTTTCCCTGTGGGTGCTCCACCCCAGAGCACCCACAGAGCCGGCACCTATGATTTAGATAAAACAACACATTATTTGTAGTCTGTAGTTAATGAGGCACATTAAATCAGAATTAGTTACAAGGAAGTAAAAGGTAAAAACACAACTAACTTAACAAGCTAGATCCGTGATCCCCAAACTTTTCAGGGTCACTTGCCCCTCCCTGAGCTGGGAGCAGGGCTGTGGCTCTGGGGGAGGGGAGGTGGACAGGGGGTCGAGGCTGGGGCAAGGAGCAGAGCCTCAGCTGAGAGCAGGGCTGGGAGCGGGACCTGAGCAGAGCTGGAGAGCAGAGCAGGGCTAGGTGGCATTTCCCCCCTTCGCCCTGTTGGGGCTGGCCCAGGCCCACCACTCCACCCCAAATGTTCCTCCGTGTCCCCAGTTTGGGGAGCTAGATGAATGCAAAGGAAAAGTCTCTCTCCCGACATGTTCCAGCAGTCTTACTGGCTGAATCTCTTTTAGTCAGGATATCTCCACCAGTCCATTGTTGCTTCTTTTCTTCCTCAGGGGTTGATGATGATATAGGTAGAAGGCAAAGGAGAGAAATGATTTGGGGGTGTTTGCCCTCTCCTCTTATAGCCCTTTCTCTTGCACAAGAATCCAGCTGATGTTCCGGAGCAGGGTGGATTTGAGTTAAATCGAATTGATTTAAATCACTAGCCAGGAAGACTCAATTTAATCATGGTTTTCTACATAAAAGTGCATTCTTGTTGGTTGTTATAACCTTAATACATATTCTTCACAACTCAGAGATAGATGTAGGTTTCATTTTTAGAAGGTACACACTATACATTTTTGAACAGTGATTTATTCTGAAAACTTTTCAGATTGGTTTGACAGCTATATCAGAGAATGATTGTTTGGTTATTTCATTTACCAAAGGTAACTGAAGCAGATATTTCTGAAGTCATTGGGAGGTTAACTATCTCCAATTCAACAGGTTAATCATTAATATTTGGAGGATTTTCTTGCCAGGCTGTATTAGGAGGAGAACATCACCAGACAGACATATAAATTGTATAACTAAAACAATGTTAAGTATTCTGGATTTTTATCTTCAAAAGCAAACATATTATATTTTAACAAAACAAGCATATGTCCCTCACTTCTCACATTTCTCTCTCCAGACTTCTTCTCCTTGTCCAGATCTATTCCGCCCCCTACAACCTTCTATTCATTGAACTTTTTGAAACTTTGCACTTTTAGAGAGAGGTAAGGGATTGACTCTGTGTACACAAATCTGCAGAGGGACAACAGAGTTGAAGTCTGCTATTTCTCACCTCTATACATTTAAAAACATTTTTGCTGTTAACAAGCATGTTACCTCTGGAGACACAAATCCACAGTTTGAGAACTGCAAAACTAAGCATCTCTGATGGTATCTTCTCGACTAAGCACTGAGTCCCATTGGGTAGATAGAAAGATTAACCTAAATAATCTATACAGAAGCCCCTGCAACCGCATAAAATTGGGTCCCTAATCCATGAACTATTGGAACTCATTTACAAAACTTTTCTTAAACATTACATGAATATATTGTCTCATACTATAGAATTAGAATTTATAATCCCTATTCCATAATGAGATAGCTTTGAGCTATCATGTATCTTAATTAAAATTATCTTTAGATAGGTTTTTTCCTCAAAAAGCATTTTATCAAAAAAATCAGATTTAAATAAAAAAAATCCGATTGTTTTGATTTTTTCTAAAAAAAATAAAATAAAAAATCATTGATTTGTATCCACCCTGTTCCGGAGACAGAAACCTGTGTGTCCAGGAACCTTAACTTGCTTCTTTGTCAAAATGTAGATTTTTGCTACACCAAAGAGTGGCCACTTAATCAGGTGATGGTCCATTTGATTTCACCAACACCTGGCTAGTCTTTTGTCTATGGGGAACTCATTTGTGTGACTGCTCTCCAGAACATGTCTTTGATAATATCCTATAGTGGAATCTTATATCTTTACATACAATGTTGCCACACACATTTTCACCAGGACAACAATGATCAGTAAATCATGAGTTTTCAAATGATACCTTACTTGGTATGCTTTGAACAAAATTTAACTTAGTCTCGTAAAAGGGGTGAACATAGAAGTACAGACTGTCAATGAGTACCTAAGCCAGATTCAGAAGCATGATAAAGGCCTAAATAACTGACTGAGGACTCCATTATTATGTTCTTCCTACACAATTGCAAAGTTTCCATTTCGGGCAATTTAGGCCTTTAAGTCTGAGTTACCTAATAACACGCTTTAATTTTACTTTTTCCCCATGGGGTTTTCTTTTCTTTTTTAAGCTTCCAACTGATAGCCTAGTCAGGTCCCAAGGAGTTTATGATGTTCAATATGAACTTTAGTCCTCTGAATCCCACTGGTCACCAACACACTTGATGTATGTGTTTGCAGGATTACTGGTACTACTAATATAACTAGTAATAAGCACACATACAAGTGTTTGCAGGATCAGATTTCTACATCTATACAGAACATCTGTGCAATACAGTAACTTCAGAATTTATTTATGGGCATGATTTTTTCCTTTGTTCGTCTAATTGCATACAATTCACAAGTTTCAGAGTAGCAGCCGTGTTAGTCTGTATTTGCAAAAAGAAAAAGAGTACTTGCAGCACCTTAGAGACTAACAAATTTATTTGAGCATAAGCTATCCTGAGCTACAGCTGAATGCATCCGATGAAGTGAGCTGTAGCTCACGAAAGCTTATGCTCAAATAAATTTGTTAGTCTCTAAGGTGCCACAAGTACTCCTTTCCTTTATACAGTTCACTGCAACTCTTCTCCCCCTCGTGGCAAAAAACACCCTTATGTAAGGTTTCAGAGTAACAGCCGTGTTAGTCTGTATTCGCAAAAAGAAAAGGAGGACTTGTGGCACCTTAGAGACTAACCAATTTATTTGAGCATGAGCTTTCGTGAGCTACAGCTCACTTCATCAGATGTATACCGTGGAAACTGCAGCAGACTTTATATACACACAGAGATCATGAAACAATACCTCCTCCCACCCCACTGTCCTGCTGGTAACAGCTTATCTAAAGTGATCATCAGGTGGGCCATTTCCAGCACAAATCCAGGTTTTCTCACCCTCCACCCCCCCACACAAATTGTGGAGGGTGAGAAAACCTGGATTTGTGCTGGAAATGGCCCACCTGATGATCACTTTAGATAAGCTATTACCAGCAGGACAGTGGGATGGGAGGAGGTATTGTTTCATGATCTCTGTGTGTATATAAAGTCTGCTGCAGTTTCCACGGTATACATCTGATGAAGTGAGCTGTAGCTCACGAAAGCTCATGCTCAAATAAATTGGTTAGTCTCTAAGGTGCTACAAGTACTCCTACCCTTATGTAAATGTCTTAGGTACTATATACGTGGTGCCTACATAAATAAGCATCAGCAGCTGACTTGTTTAAAGTAGCCATGGAGTCGTTCTGCTTCATATGAAAGTGGGTTATATCTTTCATGAATTAGAAACAACAAGATTCCAGAGCGAACACTGTATTATTGGCATTTAAGCCAATACCAAAGATCGTGAGACCAGCTGGCTCATTTTATCCACATAGCTATGTAAATGTCTAGACATATGTTTATGTTTCGGAATTATGCCTCGCGGCACTACATTTGCATAAGTTAAGTCTTCATGTCACAAGGTCTCAAAAGTTGCCGAGGCAAATCAGACAAGAGAGAAACTAGCAAAGGAAAATACTCAATTTCAAACATGTTTCAGAGAGGCAACGTTGTATGACCTAACTCTGAATGAAGTGAGCTGTAGCTCACGAAAGCTCATGCTCAAATAAATTGGTTAGTCTCTAAGGTGCCACAAGTCCTCCTTTTCTTTTTGCGAATACAGACTAACACGGCTGTTCCTCTGAAACCTAACTCTGAATGCCACATTTAATACCTTTCCAACTCACTGCTAGGCAAAGCCCTGCAAACCGTCGCCACAGCATTCCGGCTGCACACAGCGCGCTTCCCCGTTCACCTTTCCATTTACTACACACCCAGCTGATGCACTTTTCAGATCCACTTCCACACTCGGCTCGCATTTTAACCCTAGCCCCGCGACACAACAGCCCGTTACAATGAAGAAGTCCCGGGGGGCGGAAACACGCCCACAAACGCAGTCACTCTGCCTTGGCCAAGCACGCTGCCTGGTGCGCTCAAACCCCCTGCCCGAAGGAGCCCTGGGCTGGTGCCCCTTTCCAGCCCCCGCGGTACCTGCTTCGGAGGAAGGCACAAGACCGGCGGGGGGGAGTTCTTTGCTCCGGCGCTGGCTGCAGCCTCGGCGAGGACTAAGCACTTATAGCCCCTGACTCTGTTACTGGTTAACGCGGGTCACTCGCTGCATTTTTCCACTCCCCGCCCTGGGGGCAGCGGGCCGGCTCAGCACTTGGCCCAGGCCGGTGCAGGGCAGAGCCCGCTGGCGCCGCCCCCAGCCAAAGTTCCGCCCGCCACCCGCGGCAGCGGCGACAGACCCTGCAAGCGCCTCGCCGGGTCGCGCGCGCGCGCTCCCCCACGAGGCTTCTCCGCCCACGCCGGTGCCCGCCCCGAGAGGCGCGCGCCCGCGCGATGGTCCCCAGTGCGCGCGCGGCGCCCTCTCCCCCCGCGGGGCCGCGCCGAGCCCGGGTAGATGGGGGGGGCGCTGGGCGGGTGGCTCGCGGCGGCGGCGCCGTGTCTGTGCTGGCTGCCTGCGGGGCGGGGGGGGGCAGGGGAGAGACCCGAAGGCGAGGCCGGGCCTTGGCTGCCGCCAGAGCTGGCGCAAGGCCGGACCCACCGGGGCCAGGTAAAGCGGAGCCAAGGGGCAGTTCCGTGATTAGTGAGCACCCCCGTTGGCCGGGCTGTGTGGGTGCAGACAGCCCCCCTGGCATTCTCCGGGGCGTGACTCCAGCCCCGTGTCAGGGCAGCTCCTCCCTTCCCACCTTCTTCACCCCTGCACGACCAGCCGCCCTGCTTCTTAGCCAGGGGTTGGACTCTTCCCCCCACGGCCCCGCTCTTTTGCTTTCTTTGCCCTTCCCTGTTTCGGGCTCTTCGCCGTGCGGCAGCAAGGAAAGGTTACTGCTCACCTTCCGCTAACTGGAGTTCTTCCAGACGGTTTGGGCCTAGGGATGCCCGGCCAGAGGACAGACACACGCCCATGGGCAAAGCGGAGTCTGCAGGCCTGCACAGAGCACCATGCCGCCGAAAAGGGCGTATAAGGAGGCTCAGCTGCACCCCCACTCAGTTCCCGACTGCAGAGCAGAGCCTCCATAGCCCAGGGCAGGGCCACCACAAGGGGGGGGAGTGGGGAGAGACAGAGAGGGGCAAAGCCCTCTCACCTCACTCCCACCACATTCAGTAACATTGCAAAAAGAACAGGAGGACTTGTGGCACCTTAGAGACTAACACATTTATTTGAGCATAAGCTTTCCTGAGGTACAGCTCACTTCATTGGGTGCAGACTAACACGGCTGCTACTCTGAAACCATTCAATAACATTGTTTTCCCTGGCTAGTAGTGCTACTCCAGCCTCAGAGGTAGAGTGTTGCTGAGCTGGCAGATCTCGCCCCTGCCCATAAAGAAAATACAGCAACAGAGGAGCTCAGGGTGTTAGTGGTACCACCTGGCAGGGGCAGCACTGACTTGTCGGTGGGGCTCCCCACATGGTACCTGTAGGGGAGATGCCAACTTAGGGTGGGGAGCTGGCTGGGTGGAGCAGGGATGCTGAGGAGCTGTCTGTGTAGGTGATGGCTTCAGGGGAGTGGCAGCTTGGGAACAGCATTGCGTCTGCCAGGCCCTTTTTTTTTTTTTTTTTTTTTATTGCAGAGCCTGCACAGGCCCAGCACAGGAGCCTGAACTCTGGTCACCATCTCATAGTAACACCTGAGACAGAATGGGGTAGGGCCAGGCTGACTCAATACCGGGCATCTGCAGGAGCAAAGGGTCCAGCCTGGCTCCGTGGGGGCACTTGTGCATAGTAGGGTGGATGGTGCAAAAAAGTGACAATCCCACCCCCCAATTAAACTTCATGTTTTAGGATTGGATCCAGTAAGGCCCTTCCCCCTTGACCCAGCCAGCTCCTAAACAGTTGCCCTACTGCTGTCTCACCTCAGTGGTAGGGTCTCCACCCCCCAAATCGCTCAACCCCACTCCACACCCCTAGATACCCAGCCCCTAAACTCCACCTTCTGCCCCTCCATATCAGACCCCATTCCAGTTATTTCATACAGCTGACACAATGTGGGGAAATAGACTGTTCTGTCACGAGACATTGCAAACCATCTACATCACAGGCTGCAATTCCCACCGTCTCTCGTAGATGAAAGGATGTCAACATTTAGACTTTACCCTTGGTATCCCAAGTGACACCGCTGGCTAGAGTGTATCTACAGGGGCAAAACATCTCAAAGAACTCAAGTTGCTGTAGGTTACCTCCGCTTCCTCAAACATCTGTCTCTATGGGCACTCTACCGCCCAACCACTAACTCAACAAGGAGGTGGATGCTGAGGAGGCAAGTCCAAGATGGTTTTGAAGGACTGTGACGTTAAAGGTAGCATCATCCTGGCAAGCAGGTAAGATGATATAATGCATGGCAAAGGTATGAATAGAAGACCAAGTTGCAGGCCTACAAACTTCTGTTATGGGAACATCTTTCAGTAAAGCTATAGATGTAGACTAAGCTCCATTGGAGGGTGCTGTCAGAATATTTAGCTAGACAGCGTCTTATAAGGAGTGCTCTATTCTCTGGGCTGGAATATAGTGTTTTTTATCTGCTTGCTTACAGGTGGGCTAGCTAGTGACATGTATCCTCCTCTGGGGGGAGGGATAGCTCAGTGGTTTGAGCATTGGCCTGCTAAACCCGGGGTTGTGAGTTCAATCCTTGAGGGGGCCATTTAGGAATCTGGGGAAAAAATTGGGGATTGGTCCTGCTTTGAGCAGGGGGTTGGACTAGATGACCTCCTGAGGTCCCTTCCAACTCTGATATTCTATGATTCTATGTGTTTACCAGACTGCAAGCAGGTGATAACAGAGCCTTGTTGATTGGTAGGGCAATTTTCAGTGAGGAGACTCATCCATCTTCTTGTGTAATAGGTTGATAGTATCGAAGGACAGATCTTGGATGGTACTTTGCACCTCTCTAGGGAAACCTGAAGATTGTAAACATGAGTGTCTCCCAGGGAAAATTGTGCTTCTTTTCCCACCCCACTCCCAGTTCCCTGGTGGAAGATTGAGCTAATGAAAGAAATTGACAAACCCACTTGTAAGGTATCATATAAAACCTGGTGACACACTGGGCATGAATATCATTGAAGTATGTATGGGTCGTGTAAAGAGAGTTTTGTGTGCGCACACTCCAGAAATATGTTCTTAAAGTGTGTTTTGGAGGCAGTGAACAAACAAGCATGCCTTAGACAAAGGAATGTGGATTTACCTGTCTGTGTCAAGGGTTGTAAACCATAGCCAATGCAATTACATTTACATATAAGGAAAACAAAGCAATTAAGCTGGGAAGAGCCTAGTGAGCACATCGGGGACACAGCAGAGTCTGAACCCCCAAGAGGTATTTCCTGGCTCTTGAGGCAATGCCAAGGGACTTTTTCTTTTTTGTTCGCCTTATATTTCCCATTCTGCTTATCTATAACTTAGGGGGAAATGGGGACAACACTCTCTGATTTTGTAAATGTTGGAGCCTCGTGGGTGGAGGGCAGGAGATGATAGTAGCTTGATGTAAGTGAGAAACTGGTTTAGGCAAAGACAGAGCTTGCTCAAAATTAATTTCTGTGAGGGCCCAGTGAGAAGGGCTGGATGCTACAGCGTGATGTCCATGTGGAACTCAGAAACTGAGGTTCACTGATTGCCTGTCTTAACCTTGCTTTGCAGGTAACAGGAGCTTAAGGACTTTGCTGGTGAGGTGGAGAGACTGGTGCGGGAGGGAGCTGTCTTACTGTCTAATCTCCAGCAAAGCTTTCTTGCTAAGGCAGAGATGTGTAACAATAGCTTATGGTTTTGGGTTCCTAAAGGAAAGCATTACACACTCCATGAACCAAAACCAGAGGACTGAAAGAAAAAGAAATAGATAACTAAACAAATAGAGGAAAAACTATAAATCACTATGTTAAGAAAGGCAGGAAGCTGAGAAATAGCAGACATGTAATCACTTCATCTCAAGCTGCAGGCAGTTCAGAAGGAACTGCGTGGTGGCCTGTCCACACCTCCTTGCATGAAGCTCTGCTTATGTGTCCTCCTACTGCACCTGCCCCCTACAGATGCTGCTATGTGTCCTCCTACTGCACCTGCCCCCTCCAGCACACTCAGCCCGTCCTAGGCAGCCTTTCTACGGCTCCCCGGAGGAGAAGGGAGTTCATCTTTTGTTGTAGAATCTCATCAGACTGGTCCCTGAAAAGGAACGAGGAAGGAGGTTTGTGGGTAGGAGGCATCAGAAACTCCATCAGATAGCTACCATAAGTAATCTGTAAGACCCATTTGTCTCTAGCTATGGCCCTCCATTTTTGGCAAATTGGATAAGGCAGCCTCCATATAGACTTGATGATCATAATGGCCCCTTCTGGCCTTCAAGTCTAACCACCTACACATTGTAGGCCACAGAAGTTCACCAACCCTCTCCTGTAAGAGGCCCATAACCTCTGACTGAGTTATTAAAGTCCGCAAATCATAATTTAAAGACTTCACGTTACAGAGAATCGACCATTTACATTAGTTTAAACCTGCAAGTGACCTGAGCCCTGTACTGCAGAGGAAGGTGAAACCCCTCCCCCGCAGGATTCTCTGCCAATCTGACTCAGGGAAAATTCCTTCCCAACCCCAAATACGGCAGTCAGTTAGACCCTGAGTAGGTGGGGAAGGCCCAGCAGCCAGACACCTGGAAAACAATTCTCTGTAGTAACTCAGAGCCCTCCCCATCTTGTGTCCCGCCACCAGCTGTTCGAGATATTTGCTACTAGCAGTTGCAGATTGGCTACCTGTCATTGTAGGGAGTCTTAACATACCATCCCCTCCATAAACTTACCAAGCTCAGTCTTGAAGCTAGTTAGGTTTTTGGCCCCTACTACTTCCCTGGGACAGCTATTCCAGAAATTCACTTCTCTGATGGTTAGAAACCCTCATCCAATTTCAAACCTAAATGTTTTGGTGACCAGTTTATATCCATTTGTTCTTGTGTACACATTGGCGCTGAACTGAAATAACTCCTCTCTGTTCCTGGTATTTATCCCTCTGATATATTTGTAGAGAGCAATCATATCTCCCCTTCAGCCTTCTTTTGGTTAGGCTAAACAAGCAAAGCTCTTTGAGTCGCCTCTCATAAGGTAGGTTTTCCGTTCCTTTGATCATCCGAGTAGCCCTTCTCGGCACCTGTTCCAGTTTGAATTCCTCTCTCTTACATATGGGAAACCAGAATTGCACACAATATTCCAGATGTGGTCTCACCAGTGCCTTGTATAATGGTACTTCCCTGCCTTTACTTTTAATACCTCACCTGATGCATCCTAGGACTGCATTAGCCTTTTTCATGGCTGCATTGTGTTGACAGCTCATACTCATCTTTATGTTCAATGAATATACCCAATATATATTTTCTCCTCCTCTATAACTTTCAACTGATAAATCCTCAGTTTATAGCAAAAATTCTTGTTGTTAGTCCCTAAGTGCATTACCTTCCATTTTGCACTATTAAATTTCAACACATTTCTATTACTCCAGTTGTCAAGGTCATCCAGATCTTCTTGTATATATCAGAGGAGGGGAATGAAGAAGCATCAATAAAGAGATGCGGGTCTTTACAGTTCTGTCCGAAAAACCTCTTTGTTTGGGGTTAGAGTGTTGTGTGGTGGCTCCTGAGGATGTTGGTGGTAAAATGGCTGAGGCAGCAGTCTTGCTCTATACCCCTTTCTATGGTGTTTTCTGTTCGAGGCAGGGGCATAAATGCTCAGTGAATGAAGCATTGTTTTCAAGCCTTTGAGGAGTGAAGAGACTCATCTGTCTTCTTGTGTAATAGGTTGATAGTATCAAAGGGCAGATCTTGCATGGTACTTTGCACCTCTGTAGGTAAACCTGAAGATTGTAAACACAAGTGTCTCCTCATAGCAGTGACCGTAGCCATCCCTCTAAAAGCAGTATCTGCCAGATCCACCGCAGCTAGGAGGGAAGTTTTGGCCACCAATCTGCCCTCATCCTCTAAGGCCTGGAAGCAGGCCCTAGCCTCCTCAGGGTGCTTGTCCTTAAATTCCAACAACTTATTATAATTTGTAAAATCATATTTGGCCAAGAGGGCCTGATAATTTGAGATTCTGAACTGCAGGGAAGTAGAAGAGAAGGCTGTTGTCCCTTGAAAGTCAAGTCACTTGTGCCCTTTATCAGAGGGAGTAGTCTTTGGGTGCTGTTGCTTGGACCATTCTGTAGCTGCCTGTACCACCAAAGAGTTAGGGTGGTGGGTAAGAGAACCAAAGGCAGAAAGTTTTTGATGCAACAAAATAACCCTTCTTGACCCTCTTGGGGCAGGAGCACAAAAAGCAGGTATGCGCCAAACTGTCTTTACTGTGTCCATGATGTTGATGCGGAAGGCCACTGGATTGGGACTGGAAAGCTACAGAATGTCTAGTAAGCTGTGCTGAGGCTCCTAGACTTCCTCAAGCTCAATCTATAGTTCTGAAGTGACTCTGTGCATGAGCTCTTGATTTTGTTTAAAGTCATTTGGCGGAGACAGAAGATGGAGTAACCGCCTCATCTGGTGAAGACAATGAGACTGCTCCCAACCACCACTGTTTCACATTTGGGGACAATGTATACCTTCAAGTCAGCAGCACTGCTATGGGTACCCGCATGGCCCCACAATATGCCAACATTTTTATGGCTGACTTAAAACAACGCTTCCTCAGTTCTCGTCCCTTAACACCCCTACTCTACTTACGTTACATTGAAGACATCATCATCTGGACCCATGCCTTGAGGAATTTCACAATGATTTCAACAATTTCCTTCCCACTATCAACCTCAGCCTGGACCAGTCCACACAAGAGATCCACTTCCTGGACACTACAGTGCTAATAAGCGATGGTCACATAAACACCACCCTGTACCGGAAACCTACTGACCGCTGTTCCTACCTACATGCCTCCAGCTTTCACCCAGACCACACCACACGATCCATCTTTTACAGCCAAGCTCTATGATACAACCGCATTTGCTCCAATCCCTCAGACAGAGACAAACACCTACAAGATCTCTATCAAGCATTCTTAAAACTACAGTACTCACCTGCTGAAGTGAAGAAACAGATTGACAGAGCCAGAAGAATACCCAGAAGTCACCCACTCCAGAACAGGCCCAACAAAGAAAGTAACAGAATGCCACTAGCCGTCACCTTCAGCCCCCAACTTAAACCTCTCCAGCACATCATCAACGATCTACAACCTATCCTGAAGGACGACCCATCACTCTCACAGATCTTGGGAGACAGGCCAGTCCTTGCTTACAGACAGCCTGTAAGCAAGACAACCTGAAGCAAATACTCTCCAGCAACCACATACCACACAACAAAAACACTAACCCAGGAACCTATCTTTGCAACAAAGCCCGTTGCCAACTCTGTCCACATATCTATTCAAGGGACACCATCATAGGACCTAATCACATCAGCCACACCATAAGAGGCTCGTTCACCTGCACATCTACCGATGTGATATGCCATCATGTGCCAGAAATGCCCCTCTGCCATGTACATTGGCCAAACCAGACAGACAATCTCTGCACAAAAGAATAAATGGACACAAATCAGACATCAAGAATTATAACATTCAAAAACCAGTCGGAGAACACTTCAACCTCCCTGGTCATTCAATTTCAGACCTAAAAGTCACAATTCTCCAACAAAAAAACTTCAAAAACAGACTCCAACGAGAAACTGCAGAATTGGAATTAATTTGCAAACTGGACACCATTAAATTAGGCTTGAATAAAGACTGGGAGTGTATGGGTCATTACACAAAGAAAAACTATTTCCCCTTGCTAATTCCCCCCCCCCCCGTTACTCACACCTTCTTGTCAACTGTTTGAAGTGGTCCATCCTGATTATCACTACAAAAGGTTTTTTTTCTCCTGCTGATAATAGCCCACCTTAATTAATTGGTCTCGTTACAGTTGGCATGGCAACACCCATTTTTTCCATGGGGGGTGTGTGTGTGTGTGTATGTATGTGTATATATATATATATCTTCTTACTCTATTTTCCACTGCATGCATCTGATGAAGTGAGTTTTAGCCCACGAAAGCCCACATTTGTTAGTCTCTAAGGTGCCACAAGTACTCCTCGTTTTTTTTCTCCCAGAACTAGCGGATCAGGCTCACCTTGCTGTTCTGAATATTCTGACAGGGCCCATTGTGAGTGTCTAGGCAATGGCATGTAGGACTCCTGCACCAATCCTGCGTGTTTAGGGTAGGGCTCCCACTATCCCCAACATTGCCAGTAGAATGGATCAACTGACAAAGGAGGGCCCCATGGCATAGAGTGGCACCTATTTCTTCGCCAGTCTTATCTGGTCAAAGGTCAGAACCCCGATCTTCTGGCCCTCCTGTCTTGTGCCACCTCCCATGGGCAGTTCTTGTAAAAATTAAAAAAAAAAAAAATCTAGACTCAGGCACAGGGTAGGCATGTGTTATTCCGTGCGTGGAATGCATGTTGGGACCATCACTCAAAGAAGTAGTGACACCTGTGTCTGTAGACCTCCTTGATTTACTGTTTGAAGGTAAAAAGAAGAGGAGGACGTGTGGCACCTTAGAAACTAACAAATTTATTTGAGCACGAGCTTTCGTGAGCTACAGCAGCCGATGAAGTGAGCTGTAGCTCACGAAAGCTCGTGCTCAAATAAATGGGTTAGTCTCTAAGGTGCCACAAGTCCTCCTCTTCTTTTTGCGGATACAGACTAACCCGGCGGCTACTCTGAAACCAATTAACAAAGAAATTTCTGTCTGTAATTCTCTGTCACATTCCTTTTCCATCCTGGTATCTATATACCAGGTGCTAAATGTCTCAGGCTTGAGAAGTTAACAAATGACAAAACAAAGAACATTTTAACTTTGCTCAGCTCCAGTGCCTGTTTAGCAAGGGCAGCTCGCTCTCATTAGCATTCCACCATCAAGTGCCTCTACTGGGATCCAAATATCATTGTCGACTTTATTTTAAATTTAACTTTGTTATAGTGTTCAGCAAAGAAACTCTCTCCCGCTCTCCCCCCGCTTCCCACAAGTCTGTCCTCTAAACAGCTATTGCACTTCCTCTTAGAGATCACCTGTTTTAGATTCTGTGCCAGGGCACGGGTGCAGAGAATCTATGTGACTGCATAAACAGAGAGGAAGCCCTTAGCTAAGTGAGAAGTGCCTCGATAGTAAAGGCTTACTTTGTATAGCTTATTTAAAGGAGACGAGAAATAAAGATAAGAAGAGAGTTCAGCTGGATGTGTTAACAAGGGGAGAATACTGCCTTGTAGTGGATGACTGCTCATTACCCAAGTGTGATTTCACAGCAGCCCCCCCGCCAGGCTTTGGCTGCTGTTCCCCTTTTCTTGCAAAATGTGAATCCCACAAATTTGCCAGTCATGAAGTGTGGATAAAATTACAGCTTGCAAAAGTTCTTTAGTGGGAGATAGCTGCACCTTGAATCAATCTGGTCAGTTTCTTTACTCCTTGCAGTTGGGATTTCTATTCAGCTCTTGCTGCTTTTCATACTTTTTCTTTAGCATGGCTTGTAAACATTAAAACTAGCTACTGTTAGGACATAGCGTAAGAGAAAATTAACAGTTCTTCTATGCTCTACTGAACTACAACACTAGTGCTGTCTTTTTCTAGCTCCCACAACAAATATTTTGAACTCTGAACTGTGGTTAGCCAGCAGGATACCAAACATTTTTCCTGCATCAGTAGTTGTGGTTATAAAATGCTAATACAAGACTTTTAATTATGAAAATTAAGAGAGGATGGAATTTACTGGTTCTTTAATGTTAAATACAAGTGTTAAATGGATAAATGAAAAATTAAGGTGCTTTAAACTAAGAAAGATTCACCACTGAGGACTTTTGCCTGTAGAAGTAGAAAGAGGAGTAATTAGGGTAGATCCACCCTCTGAGATTTTGCATTTTCTCCTGTATGCTTTGAGGTTCTCATTCATGCTGGCTGCTGATGCTTCAAACTAACAAAGATTCACCGTGGCGGATTTTTGGCGAGGGAAGCAGGAATGGTCGAGACAAGCTGCCAAACAATGAGCTGCAAGGGGGCTTCACCAGACAAGTGATCCCGCTGGACAGACAGGTTGTGATGCTAGTATGGTTACTGCACACACTCTAGTTCCAAGAAATATGGAGCACACACGGATGCATACTAGCTGAGAACTCTGTCAAGTTCATAGTTTAGGACTACCGAAACGTCAGAATACCTCACCCTTTGTCTCAAGCAGGACATATCACAAGTTTTCCTCTCCTTTTGTTTAATGGAAAGCCTACCGATTCCTCTAAGCCACCCCCCTTCACCAGTTCTGAAAACCCTCCACCCTGAGTTATGGCATAGTAATTTGGAGCCAGTAGAAGTTGGAGGTGATAGGCTGGGTCTCAGGGTTCATGGCTGAAGACCCAGATTTGTTTGCAGCAACCCTAGTAGAGAAAAAATGTTTTCTGATCTTCCTTGGTCATCACTTGCTTTTCAAAACCAACATACCATATTTGAAAATTTTGGTTCAGTGTGCCTGTTTCACGTGTAACTCTTCCTCCCTTGGCAGTATCTGTTTTAAAGAGCAAGAGTCACGTTTGTTTAATACTGTTGCATCCATTAATAGCAGTCTACTCTCGGGAATTTGCCCATCGTTGTTAATATCCTACTTTAGATCAAAATAAATTAGTCTAGCTGTTAGATGTAATTTAGATACTATAATATCAGCCCGTATGGTCAGCTGGCTATAGAGCAGGAATCAGCACTGCCAAGAAGTTGCCTTTAGCGACAATGGTTCCTAGCATGAACATTGAAACAGGTGCCTTTTGATTAAACTTACATTAGTAGGTGGCAAGTAGACCAAGGAGAGATCAAATTTCTACAAGTCTCTTTGATTTTCCATTTACTCGTCTGTATCATAATCACATTTCAACATAACTTTTCATGCGGAAAGTCTGTCCTGAACAATGTATTCCCACTTTACAAAAATCCTTCCCTAAGGAGTTAAAAATGTTTAGGTGTAATAACAAAGGCTTATGCCTGTGGGTAGACTTGATACCGCGTCAAATTAAGCTCACATTTCTAACCTGGTAATACTGCTATATTGTCAACATTTCACATTAATACAGAAACAGAAAATTCACTACCAAGTTTCACTGCTCAGCTAATGTGATTGGCAATGACAAGACACTGAATTGTTGGCAACCCTAATAGCAAACTCAAATACTTGTGGCCTCCCAACCAGAAGATGAATCCCCAACCCAGCCAGCACTTGCCTCGTGATCCGCACTACAGCCAGTAGAAACTCACTCCATCTAGTGAGTTTTCCCCAAATCAGCCACCATTTTCTCCTGTGACCACAAGGGATTGAGAGACTGGATCATAAGAAGTTGCACCAGGTTTTGGGGTCTCAAGTGGGGAAAAGTTTGAAAACACCTTTTCTAGGGACTATTGCACTGAATAATTGTTAAGGTATATTAAATAATTTAAAATCAGCCTTGAAAGTCTGATTTCTCTTATAAAACTACTAGAAGTGTACTGAAATGCTTCTTAAAAATAAATTTAAAAGTGCATTATATAGCCCAAGCTAAAACAGAATATATGGATAGACTTCCATTATAAATACATTGTAAGACAGCTTATTTGAAAGTCATTTCCTCTCACTTACCTGACAGGTCATGAGCTAAGGGAGCTGATGACATCAACAACATCTAATATGGGTAAGAACTGCAGGACATTGCCCTGTGTTTGGTATTTCATGTAAGTGCTAGCTCTTACAAGATGTACTGTATGTAACATTTTCTGTATACTTCATCTGTACATTCCTAATAAGATATCTGTCATGTCTGTTTTGTTCAGAGCTGCTGTAGCCTGTACCCAGGAGGCACACACCATGCTCTCTGAAATTTCTGTATTTTCATTAATGTAAACAATGAGTACAAGCAGTAATGGTCTCAAGTTGCAGTTGGGGAGATTTAAGTTGGATACTAGGAAAAACTTTTTCACTAGGAGGGTGGTGAAACACTGGAATGCGTTACCTAGGGAGGTGGTGGAGTCTCCTTCCTTAGAAGTTTTTAAGGTCAGGCTTGACAAAGCCCTGGCTGGGATGATTTAATTGGGGATCGGTCCTGCTTTGAGCAGGGGGTTGGACTAGATGACCTCCTGAGGTCCCTTCCAACCCTGATATTCTATGATTCTAAAGTTACTTATTTTAGACTTAAAGGGTATAGTTTATTTTATGTATAAGAACATTAATTTTAACTTTCTAGAACAAAGCTCTGATAATTTCCCCAAGAAATGCAGAAATGAGGCTACAGTCTATTACCCATACATTAAGTTGACGGACTGAATCAAAGGCTACCAAGGGAAGTTAGTCACCCTTTGTAACTGGAGTTCTTAGAGAAATGTGTTCCCTATCTGCATTCCACTTCGAGTGTATTCCACTCTGGATATGCATGCACCTGAGACTGGATAATTCTTGCAAGTCGTGTCTGTTGGCTTGCACCTGCACCCTCAAACTCCTCATGGTTTGCACTGAGGGTCTAAGGGATAATGCAGACGAAATGCTTCTCCAGTTCCTTCTCTAACTACAAATCAGACATGATCTGAAGCGGACAGGAAGGAGGGTGGGTAATGGAATACAGATAGCAAACACACATATCAAAGAACAGGTCCCCCAGGTCGGGGTTCGCCACTGAATGAAGATGCTAAATCATGTAACTCCCACTTGTGATTGCCAGCAAAGTACCTGTTAGGCCAGAGGTGGGCAAACTGCAGCCCTTGGGCCACATCTGGCCCCTGGGACCTTCCTGCCTGGCCCCTGAGCTGGGAGGCTAGCCCCTCCCCCGCAGCCTCAGCTTATTGCACTGCCGGTGCAATGCTCTGGGCGGCGGGGCTGCGAGCTCTTGCTAGGCAGTGCAACTACAGAGCTGTGGCCTGACCCGGTGCTCTGTGCTGCACGGTGGCGCAGCTGCCTCCAGCCGGGCGGCGCGGCTGCCTGTCCTGGTGCTCTGGGCGGCGCAGTTATAGTGCCACCAGCGCTCCAGGCAGCGTGGTAAGGGGCCAGGGAGCAGGGGAGTTGGATAGAGGGCAGGGGAGTTCGGGGTGGTGGTCAGGGGATGGGGGTGTGGATGGGGGTTGGGTGGTCTGCAGGTAGGGAGCAGGGGGGTTGAATGGGGGAAGGGGTCCCAGGGGAGCAGTCAGGAAGGAGAGGTTGGGTTGGATGGGGTGGGGTGGGGCAGTCAGGGACAGGGGTTCTTGGGCTAGTCAGGGGACAGGGAGAAGGGGTGGTTGGATGGGGCAGGGATCCCGGGGAGATAGTCAGGGATGAGAGGAGGGGTTGGATGGGGTGGCAGGGGGCAGTGGTCCTGGGGGGCTGTCAGGTGACAGGGAAGGAGTTGGATAGGGCAGGAGTCCTGGGGGGGGCTGTCAGGGGGCAAGAAGCAGGGGAGGTCGGATAGGGGTCGGGGACCGGGCCATGCCTGACTATTTGGGGAGGCACAGCCTCCCCTAACCAGTCCTCCATACAATTTTGGAAACCCGATGTGGCCCTCAGGCCAAAAAGTTTTCCCGTTCCTGTGTTAGGCTGTATGCCAGCAAACTCTGGGTGCCTGGAACGTACACTGCCGAAAGGGTGGTCTAGTTTGTGATACACCAGTTCCATAAGTTGACTGCTTCTACGCAGGGAAATGGATCTCTTCTCTCCCTGCTTATTTATGTAGAATATGGTTATTGTATATTGTCTGATATGAGGATAGGAGATTGGATGAATAGTAAGACTGCTTTGCTGGCTTCTTGGACTGCTCTGAATTCCAGAAGATTTATGCACATTCTGGTTTCCCAGGATGGCCAGGTGCCCTGTGCTGTGTGGCCATCCATGTGAACTCTCCAGCCTCACAAGGAGCTGTTTACAGTTATTGCCTTTGTGAGTGTGGGGGATAGGAAAGGAACACCCTTGTGGTGTTGCACTCTATATGATTTTATAAAAATATGCTAATGAGTGTGAATATAATGTAACCGGAATATGCTTCATGCAAAAGGTCTCTAAGGTATCATTACCTGGGTTTGCAGCAGGCTAGCAGGTCTGGCTGAAACCAGGCTGGGCATTGAAGTCCCAAGCTGGGAGAGCAGGGAAAGCAGGGGCAGAAGTAGTTGGCAGCCCCAAAGGGGGTTTCTGAGATCCAACCCTCTCATACTTGTCCGAGATCTTTTCACCAAATCAATGAGGCCCTCTCCTTGATGAGAACAATTGATATGCTGTTCATGCTGCGTGCATGTGGTGTATGTACACTGTTCAAAGCCAAGCCTAGAGGCAACAGAGGTGGAGTCTGGTGATTGATGTCATGTAAATACATGACATGTGCCCAAGGAGAGTAAGGCAAATCTTAACTGATTTGCAAAGGTTGAGTGTAACCTGATTTATCAGGTAGCTCACAGTGTGAAATCTGTCCACAGGGAGATAAGCCCTCACTGAATCTAAGGTTGCTCCTATAAATTCTACAGTCTTTGTCAGACTTTAGACAAGTAGATTTTTCTGTGTTCACACAGATTCCCAGGGATGGAGCAACTGAAGCTGATGTCAAGACTTCTAGGTATGTCCCAGACCCTCAGCAAAGGCTCTTAAACAAAGTAAGCAGTCATGGGATAAGAGGGAAGGTGCTCTCAAGGATGAACAACTGGTTAAAAAGGTAGGAAACAAAGGATGGGAGAGTTTTCAGAATGTATAGAGGAAAAGAGTGGTGGCCCCCAGGACTGGGACCAGTGCTGTTCAACATATTCATAAATTATCTGGAAAAAGGGGTATACAGTGAGGCGGCAAAATTTGCCGGCAGTGCAAAATTATTCAAAGTTAAGTCCAAAGCAGACTGTGAAGAGTCACAAAGGGATCTCACAACACTGGGTGACTTGGCAACAAAATGGCAGATGAAATTCAATGTTGATAAATGCAAAGTAGTGCACGTTAGAAAACAATCTCAACTATACATACAAAATGATGGGGTCTAAAATTAGCTCTTACCACTCAAAGAGATCTTGGAGTCATTTTGGATAGTTCTCTGAAAATGTGTGCTTATTGCAGAGGTGGGCAAACTCGGGCCTGTGGGACCATCCTGCCTGGCCCCTAAGCTCCTGGCAGAGGAGGCTAGCCCCCGGCCCCTCCCCCACCGTCCCCTCGCGACACCAGTGCTCTGGCAGGTGTGACTGGCTCTGACCAGGCTGCGTGCTCCTGCCACTCTGAGCTGAATGGTGGGGGGGTTGGGCGGGGAGGGCAGTCAGGGGACAGGGAACGGGGGGGTTGGGGCAGGGAGGTCTTAGATAGGAGGTGGGGTCCTAGTGGGGCAGTTAGGGGACAAGGAGCAGTGGGAAGGGGTTGGATGGGTCAGAGTTTCTGAGGGGGGCAGTCAGGGGGCAGGGTCCAGGCTCTCCATACAGTTTCATAACCCCAATGTGGCCCTCGGGCCAAAAAGTTTGCCCACTCCTAACTTAATGTGTAGGCACAGTCAAAAAAGCTAACAATGTTAGGAACCATTAGGAAGGGGATAGATAAGACAGAAAATATCAATGCTTCTATATAAATCTACGGTACACCCACATCTTGAATGCTGTGTGCAGATCGGGTTGCCCCATCTCAAACAATACATATTGGAATTGGAAAAGGTACAGAGAAGGGCAACTAAAATTATTAGGGGTATGGAATAGCTTCCGTAGGAGGAGAGATTAAAAAGACGGACTTTTCAGCTTGGAAAAGAGACTACTAAGGAAGGATATGATTGAGGTCTATAAAATCATGACTGATGTGGAGAAAGTAAATAAGGAAGTGTTATTTACTCTCTTATAACACAAGAACTAGGGGTCACACAATGAAATAGGCAGCAGGTTTAAATAAACAAAAGGAAGTATTTTTTCTGCACAACGCACAGTCAACCTATGGAACTCCTTGCCAAAGGATGTTTTGCAGGCCAAAAAGTATAATTGGGTTAAAAAAAAAACTAGATAAATTCATGGAAGATAGATTCATCAGTGGCTATTAGCCAGAATGGGCAGGGATGCAATACTATGCTCTGAGTGTTTGCTAGAAGCTGGGAGTGGACGATGGGATGAATCACTCAATGAGTGCCTGTTCTGTTCATTCCCTCTGAAGCACCTGGCATTGGCCACTGTCGGAAAACTGGATACTGGGCTAGATGGACCATTGGTTTGACCCGGTATGGCCATACTTAGGTTCTTATGTATATTCTTATGAGGTGGGGCTCAGAGTCTACCTAAGCAAGGATTGCAGAACCGCCCTTCCAAAGGTTGCCTCCACTCTAAATGTGCAGTAATGGCATAGTGGCTCATGAATGCATGTATAGATGACCACGTAGCAGCCCTACAAATGTCCAATATGGAAACATCACTGAGGAATGCTATTTACAGTGCTTGCATTCTAACTGAATGAGCTTGCATCCGCTGAGGGTGTGTAGCGGATGCTATTTCATATGCAGTCTTGTTACAGGATGTTATCCAGCTAGATAGATAGTCTGAAGACAGCTTGACCCTTCATAAGATCTGCATATGACACAAAGAGGTGAGGCGAAACACAAAAACGGTTTAGTCCTGACCAGATAGAAAGCGAGACATCGCTTGACATGTAATGTATCGAGATGCTGCTCCTCCAGAGATGAACGTGGTTTAGAAAAGAATACAGGTAAATATACATATTTCTCAAATGAAACTGAGAAACCACTTTAAACAGAAATTTTGGATGTGGTCGTAAAGTCACCTTGTCTTTGGGAAATTCTGTATAAGGAGGCCCTCCCATCAGAGCTTACAGCTCACACACTCTCCTTGCAGATGTTATCACTACCAGGAACAAAAGCTCTCTGACACAAACACAGAAAGGGACAATCATAGAATCATAGAATAACAGAGTTGGAAGGGACCTCTGGAGGCCATCTAGTCCAACCCCCTGCCCAGAGCAAGACCATTCCCAACTAAGTCATCCCAGCCAGGGCTTTGTCAAGCCTGACCTTAAAAACTTCTAAGGAAGGGGATTCCACCACCTCCCTAGGTAACGCATTCCAGTGTTTCACCACCCTCCTAGTGAAAAAGTTTTTCCTAATATCCAACCTAAACCTCCCCCACTGCAACTTGAGACCATTACTCCTTGTCCTGTCATCTGCTATCACTGAGAATAGTCTAGATCCATCGTCTTTGGATCCACCTTTCAGGTAATTAAAAGCAGCTATCAAATCCCCCCTCATTCTTCTCTTCCGTAGACTAAACAATCCCAGTTCCCTCAGCCTCTCCTCATAACTCATGTGTTCCAGTCCCCTAATCATTTTTGTTGCCCTTCGCTGGACTCTCTCCAATTTATCCACATCCTTCTTGTAGTGTGGGGCCCAAAACTGGACACAGTACTCCAGATGAGGCCTCACCAATGTCGAATAGAGGGGAACGATCACGTCCCTCGATCTGCTCGCTATGCCCCTACTTATACATCCCAAAATGCCATTGGCCTTCTTGGCAACAAGGGCACACTGTTGACTCATATCCCGCTTCTTGTCCACTGTCACCCCTAGGGTCCTTCTCTGCAGAACTGCTGCCTAGCCATTCGGTCCCTAGTCTGTAGCGGTGCATTGGATTCTTCCATCCTAAGTGCAGGACTCTGCACTTGTCCTTGTTGAAGATCATCAGATTTCTTTTGGCCCAATCCTCCAATTTGTCTAGGTCCCTCTGTATCCTATCCCTACCCTCCAGCATATCTACCACTCCTCCCAGTTTAGTGACATCCGCAAACTTGCTGAGGGTGCAATCCACACCATCCTCCAGATCATTAATGAAGATATTGAACAAAACCGGCCCCAGGACCGACCCTTGGGGCACTCCGCTAGATACCGGCTGCCAACTAGACATGGAGCCATTGATCACTACCCGTTGAGCCCGACAATCTAGCCAACTTTCTACCCACCTTGTAGTGCATCCATCCAGCCCATACTTCTTTAACTTGCTGACAAGAATACTGTGGGAGACAGTGTCAAAAGCTTTGCTAAAGTCGAGCAATGACATATCTAGTGCTTTCCCTTCATCCACAGAACCAGTTATCTCATCATAGAAGGCAATTAGATTAGTCAGGCATGACTTTCCCTTGATGAATCCATGCTGACTGTTCCTGATCACTTTCCTCTCGTCTAAGTGCTTCAGAATTGATTCCTTGAGGACATGCTCCATGATTTTTCCGGGGACTGAGGTGAGGCTGACGGGCCTGTAGTTCCCAGGATCATCCTTCTTCCCTTTTTTAAAGATGGGCACTACATTAGCCTTTTTCCAATCTTCCGGGACTTCCCCCGATCGCCATGAGTTTTCAAAGATAATGGCCAATGGCTCTGCAATCACATCCGCCAATTCCTTTAGCACTCTCAGATGCAACACATCCGGCCCCATGGACTTGTGCACGTCCAGTTTTTCTAAATAGTCCTGAACCACTTCTTCCTTCACAGAGGCCTGGCCACCTCCTCCCCATGCTGTGCTGCCCAGTGCAGTAGTCTGGGAGCTGACCTTGTTCGTGAAGACAGAGGCAAAAAAGAATTGAGTATATTAACTTTTTCCACATCCTCTGTCACTAGGTTGTCTCCCTCATTTAGTAAGGGGCCCACACTTTCCTTGGCTTTCTTATTGCCAACATACCTGAAGAAACCCTTCTTGTTACTGTTAACATCTCTTGCTAGCTGCAACTCCAGGTGTGATTTAGCCTTCCTGATTCCATTCCTACATGCCCGAGCAATATTTATATACTCATCCCTGGTCATTTGTCCAATCTTCCACTTCTTGTGAGCCTCTTTTTTGTGTTTAAGATCAGCAAGGATTTCACCGTTAAGCCAAGCTGGTCGCCTGCCATATTTACTATTCTTTCTACACATCGGGATGGTTTGTCCCTGTAGCCCCAATAAGGATTCTTTAAGATACAGCCAGCTCTCCTGGACTCCTTTCCCCCTCATGTTATTCTCCCAGGGGATCTTGCCCATCAGTTCCCTGAGGGAGTCAAAGTCTGCTTTTCTGAAGTCCAGGGTCCATATTCTGCTGCTTTCCTTTCTTCCTTGTGTCAGGATCCTGAACTCGACCATCTCATAGTCACTGCCTCCCAGGTTCCCATCCACTTTTGCTTCCCCTACTAATTCTTCCCGGTTTGTGAGCAGCAGGTCAAGAAGAGCTCTGCCCCTAGTTGGTTCCTCTAGCACGTGCACCAGTAAATTGTCCCCTACAGTTTCCAAAAACTTCCTGGATTGTCTGTGCACCGCTGTATTGCTCTCCCAGCAGATATCAGGATGATTGAAGTTGCCCATGAGAACCAGGGCGTGCGATCTAGTAGCTTCTGCGACTTGCTGGAAGAAAGCCTCGTCCGCCTCATCCCCCTGGTCTGGTGGTCTATAGCAGACTCCCACCACGACATCGCCCTTGTTGCTCAGGCTTCTAAACTTAATCCAGAGACTCTCAGGTTTTTCTGCAGTTTCATACTTGAGCTCTGAGCAGTCATACTGCTCCCTTACATACAGTGCAACTCCCCCACCTTTTCTGGCCTCCCTCTCCTTCCTGAACAGTTTATACCCATCCATGACAGTACTCCAGTCATGCGAGTTATCCCACTAAGTCTCCGTTATTCCAATCACATCATAATTCCCTGACTTTGCCAGGACCTCCAGTTCTCCCTGCTTGTTTCCCAGGCTTTGTGCATTTGTATATAGGCACTTGAGATAGAATCATAGAATATCAGGGTTGGAAGGGACCTCAGGAGGTCATCTAGTCCAACCCCTTGCTCAAAGCAGGACCAATCCCCAATTTTTGCCCTGATCCCTAAATGGCCCCCTCAAGGATTGCACTCACAACCCTGGGTTTAGCAGGCCAATGCTCAAACCACTGAGCTATCCCTCCCTCCCCCAATAACCCGCTGATCGCCCCTTGTTCTCAGTATGAGGCAGGAGCCCTCCCCTCTCACACGCTCCTGCTTGTGCTTCCTTCCGGTATCCCACTTCCCCACTTACCTCAGGGCTTTGGTCTCCTTCCCCCAGTGAACCTAGTTTAAAGCCCTCCTCACTAGGTTAGCCAGCCTGCTCGCGAAGATGCTCTTCCCTCTCTTCGTTAAGTGGAGCCCGTCTCTGCCTAGCACTGCTCCTTCTTGGAACACCATCCCGTGGTCGAAGAATCCAAAGCCTTCTCTCCGACACCACCTGCATAGCCATTCATTGACTTCCACGATTCGACAATCCCTACCCCGGCCTTTTCCTTCCACAGGGAGGGTGGACGAGAACACCACTTGTGCCTCATACTCCTTTATCCTCCTTCCCAGAGTCACGTAGTCTGCAGTGATCCGCTCAAGGTCATTCTTGGCAATATCATTGGTACTCACGTGGAAAAGCAGGAAGGGGTAGCGGTCCGAGGGCTTGATGAGTCTCGGCAGACTCTCCGTCACATTGCGAATCTTAGCCCCTGGCAAGCAGCAGACTTCTCTGTTTTCCCGGTGAGGGCAGCAGATAGATGACTCAGTCCCCCTGAAGAGAGACTCCCCGACCACCATCACCCGCCTCCTTCTCTTGGGAGTGGTGGTTGTGGAACCCCCAACCTTAGGACAGTGCATTTCATGCCTTTCAACTGGTGGAGTCTCCTTCTGCTCCCTTCCCCCAGACGTATCATCTGGGCCACTCCTCGCAATGGTACCTGTGGAGAGAACATGAAATCGGTTACTTACCTGTATCAGCGTTGCTGGTACATGGACATTCCCCCTTCTTCTGGAGGTCACATGTTGCCAGATTTCTTTACCGTCCTCCTGTCTGTGCTGCACAGCCTGCTCTGAATCTTCAGAACCTTGTGCCTGTAGAAGCATATCCTGACGTCTGTCCAGGAAATCTTCAGTTTCTCTTATGCAACGCAGGGTCGATACCTGTTGCTCCAGACCTTGAACCTTCTCTTTCAGTATGGAGACCATCTTGCACTTTGTACAAAGTCGCTTCTGTCCTCTGTCCCCTGACAAGATGCTAGGGGCTTGAACAGAGGTCCCATCGGTATCCCATTAAGATTCCACAGATGAACCGGCTCTTGGACCAGAGAATGTATACGAAGGAGCTCTTTTAAGAATCTTGCTACAGTGAGATTGGAGAAGACTGATCTTCCCTGAATAGGGGGGATGAAATGCCAATATCGCTGCCCGAAGCACTTTCAATGAACTAAATGCAACTCCAGACAACTGAAGGTGCAGAAGGTACTCCAAAGTGTCCTGGATGGAAACCAGCATTGGTTGATTTCTGCGGGTGAGTGACCGCATGGAAAACAGTTTAAATTTTGCCAAATAGGCCATCCTGTAGAGGGCTTCTTACTGTTGAACAGAACCTGCTGAACATGTTCCAAACTCCGTTCTTCCTTCTCATTCTGCGATGCAGCAGCCACACAGAGATGCAGAGAACTGAGCGCAGGGCACAAGGTGAGTGAATAGGTTGGGATGGAGAGGAAGAGGGATTGGAGGCTGAACTGATAGCACAAGAAGACTGGAAAACCAGCACTACCTCAGCAATGAGGATACAATCTGCCTTCAGCTTGAGGATGAACTATGGGATGACTAGGTAAAAAGCACAGAAGAGAGCTGCTTGCAAGCTGAGATGCAAGGCATTGGACAGGGAGCCTGGTCTGAGGCCCCCTTGAGAGCAGAACAGGTGACATTTCCTGTTGTCCCTTATAGCAAACAGGTCGATCACTGAACGCTCCAGGTTGCAAAGATAGTGTGGAGGATACTGTCTTCAGAGACTACTGGTGACTCAGCCAAAAAAAAAAATAAATTCCTGCAGAGATGGTCCGTGAGATGATTCTGGACCCTGGGCCAAGTGGTCACCCATCGGAGTGATACTCTCCTCAATTAAAAACTGCCTCAACCTGATTGCCTCATGGCAGAGCACTTTGGAGTGTGCTTCTCCTTGCTTATTCACATAACACATTGCAGTGGTATTGTTGGTAAATATCAACCACTGCACCCCTAATATGGGCCTGAAAAGCGTGACATGCATTGTAAATGGCCTGATGTTCCAGCACATTGATATGCAGAGAGGACTCCTGCTCCGACTACAGACCTTGTACTTTCAGCGACCCCAGATGTGCTCCCCTGCCCATCAGGGAGGCATTGGTGACAACAGTCCTGGTTGGTAAGGGCCAGACAAAAAGAATGCCCTGACAAACAAACATTCTCAAGAAGTGTCCACTCTGTAAGGAATCCAGGACCAGTGAAGGAAGACGGCTAAATCTGTCCAAGGAGTGAAGAGTGACAGTAAACTGTCCTAAGCCACATTTGGAGGGGACAAAGATGCAGCCTTGTGAACTGGACCACCTGCATGCAAGCAGACATGCAGTTCAAAAGCCCCAGGCACATCCAAACTGTCATGGAAGGCTGAAATTGCAGACTGAGGTAGAGGTGGCAAATGCCTGAAAATTGTCGGTCAGCAGAAGTGCTCTCGAATTGGTAGAGTCTATTTGGGCCCCAATGAACTCCATTTTCTGAGTGAGCAAAGCAACGTTGACTTCCCATTGTTTAGGATGAGACCAGAGGGTTGAACAAGCACAGGGTGGAGCGGATATAAGAAATGGAGTTCCTATCTGGATCTGCCCCTCAATAACCAGTCATCTAGATACAGGAAGATGTAGATCCCTTTCTTCTTGAGATATGCCATGACGATGGCCATTTGGTAAAGCCAAAGGGAAGCAGGGTACACTGGAAATGGCTCTCCACTATGACAAATCAAAGGAATTTTCTGTGGGTTGGCAAAATTGCCATATGAAAGTAGGCGTCCTGAAGGTCCAGGACAGCAAACCAATTGTTCTGAGACAACAGGGGAAGGATAGTCAATGGAGTAGCCATTCAGAGCCTCAGGTATCTGATATATTTGTTGAGGCCACAAATGTCGAGAATAGGTCTTACTCCTACCTTGTATTTGGGTACCAGAAAGTACCAGGAACAGAAACCCTGACACCGGTGATCTGATGGAATTTCATCCACCACTCCCAATACGAGCAGAGCATGAACCTGCTCAAGGAGCAGTATCTTGAGAGGGGTCCCTGAATAGGGACGGGGAAGGAGGAGTAGAAAGGAACTGGATAGCACAGCCTGATCCAGTGGTGCTTAGGATCCAACTGTTGGTGGTGATCAAACCCCAAACATTGTGAAAGCAGGCTAGCCTGGCCTCACATGGAAGGGATGGGGGGGGGGGAGGAAAGGAGTGACAACTGGAACACTGCTCGGTTTCAGAGTAACAGCCGTGTTAGTCTGTATTCGCAAAAGAAAAGGAGGACTTGTGGCACCTTAGAGACTAACCAATTTATTTGAGCATAAGCTTTGCATCCAATGAATGTATACATTCATTGGATGCATCCGATGAAGTGAGCTGTAGCTCACGAAAGCTTATGCTCAAATAAATTGGTTAGTCTCTAAGGTGCCACAAGTACTCCTTTTCATTCACCAGTTATTGCCAAGGAATTTGGGGCTTGATGAGACTAAAAACCCACAAATTCGTGCCTAGGAATGAAGTAGCTCTTTTCCATGTGCTTAGCTACAGGCAGTAGCCAAGCCAGGTGCTCCAAAGGACCTTAGCAGGCTTAAAGAGCGTATCATGAATAAGGTGACTCTCCCAGGGGCAGATGGCTGCAGGATATCCACTAACTTGTGAGTGTTCTCCCACAGGAACTCCTCTTGAATACCCAGGGAAGTGGCCATGCACTGCAACAGGTCCTGGTGCACCTTGAAATCCTGCGGTACGGAAGGGGAGGAAGAGCCTGGCACCGTGGAATTGTCCAGGGATGAGAATGAGGCGGTTAAACTGTGCCAGAGCTGAATCCTGCTCCAAGGCTGACAGGACCAGGCAGGATGAATCTGGAGGCTCCTCAAGGGGAAGGTTCACCGGTACCAGAACCTGTGGCAGATCGATGGTCACTGCTACAGACCTGGCCAATGATCTCTGCTTCAAGCGGGATGAGGTGTGGGACCTATATATCCGAGCAGTGGCCCCCGGAGGCCACTGGTATGAATATGGCAGTGGTAGCCAGTAGGTGCCGGAGCAGGGGCCCCTGTCCCAACCATGAGACAAGCGCCAGTCTAGCACTCCATGAACGCCCCTTGCTCAGGCCATGGAAAGAGAGAGGAATAAGATTCAACCTCAGACGCCAAGGAGACCTGGGGGTTAGCTGTGGGGCCAGCCCTGATAGTGCAAGCAGCCAGTCCGACTTGTCCATAGCCCAGAATGACCAGGGGGCTGGCATCAATGGTGGAAACGATAGCGCCAGCAACGAGTATGCCTTTGTCGTTTCTGGTGCTGGAGCAATGTTGACCCTGAAGTCGTCATCAGTACTGAAGTAACTAATGGTGCCAAAGTGGAAAGTGGTGACTTTGCTATGGCAACATTGGCATTTCCAGCCACAGGGGCTACCAAAGAAGTTCCAGGTGCTGAGGAGGTCCCTTGTGCCAAGTCCAGTGCCAGCCCCATTTCCACTGTATAGAAGGGAAATATCGGGGTGCAGCATCAGCAGATGGATAGGTTCAGCAGCCGGCTGAGCCAGTGGGGCTATAAAGGGCACAGCCCTGTCAAAGTCCTGAACCAAGGGAGAGGTTGGGACAGAAAGATAGAGGAGGTCTGCTGCTGCCAGATACACCACCAGCATGGAAGCAGCTGGTGCTGGCATCGCCCTCATCGGTACTGAACTCAACGGATGCCCAGGGTTGGAACCGGACTCAACAATACGGGGTGGCTGGCCCCTGTGCGCAGTGCTGGGGAGTGGTTGACTTGTCCTGCTCCATCCTGCACACACCAGTATTCACCCCATGCTGATCCACATGCCTTCTGGAGGGGGGGCGGTGGGGAGACGAGTCCCCATAGGACCTGGATTGGCCTCCGTTGGTCTTATGTGACTTTTTCCTCAGTACACTTGATGGGGAACAATTCCTCCCTCTCTTTGGAAATGCGCCAGCTCCAGGGTGCAAAGCAGCAGCACTCTCCAAATCTGAGGGTGACCTGCAATCTGATGAGGCCTTGGTACCAAAACAGGCCACATGGCCTGTTAGAGCAGGTGCTGTTTCAGATGAAGATCCCCACCTCTTTGTTCATGAAACACTCATCTGTAAATCAAACACCGCTCCTTGCGGTGTGCTTCACTTCACGTAGGCATAACAAGCACCGTGTGTGGGGATTGTTGTTGGGGATCATTCCCCCACACAACAGACAAGGTTTAAACCTTGGTGAGGGTATCAACCAGGGAACACTTAAACTAAGTCTAACTCACAATTTACTAGGGATACTAATGAACTATATACGAGAAAAGAAGTCACTGAATAGAGGATTGTAAGGTTGAAAACCTCAGAGCTCCGACTCCAGCCACGGGTGGTAAGAAGGACCTGAAGTGGTAGAGGGGTCAGGGCAGCACCGCCTCATATAGGCAGGGGAGAGGCTAAAGCCAGGAGGTGTGAGTACCCTCCTCCCCTGTATGGGTACTGCTAGGTAAAATTCTCCAGCCCGCGCATGCTGGATGTGTGCAAACCTAAGTGGCTGCAGCTACTCAAAGAATTAACTCTTCAGTTCTTTGTGTAGTAATTGCCTGCCCACAACAAAAAAGATGAATAGTATATTTTATATATACATACATACATACATGTTACCCCCCCCACCCCTGTATTTGTGTGGAAGTGATATCCAGGTGATGTATTCAGTTCATCATGCACTTTGATCACATCACTCCTCTCATTTATTCTAACATTCCAAACCCCAGAGCAGCTCAAGCAGGTGTCTCAAATTTGTTTTTAAAAAGTTGACCTGCCAAAGAACTGTTTCCTCCCACCAGGTGATATTTCCCATCAATGTTACATCCTAACAAGGCCTAGGATGAGCAAGATTTAGTACAGAAAAAGAAAAAGAGGACTTGTGGCACCTTAGACTAACAAATTTATTTGAGCATAAGCTTTTGTGATGCATCCGATGAAGTGAGCTGTAACTCACGAAAGCTTATGCTCAAATAAATTGGTTAGTCTCTAAGGTGCCACAAGTCCTCCTTTTCTTTTTGCGGATACAGACTAACACGGCTGCTACTCTGAAACCATTCAATACAGAGAGTGACTGGTTTAAGAGCCAATATCTTGTGACCCATGAGAGCTCGAGAGGTCTAGTCCAGCCCCTAGACTGAGGCAGGACCAAGGAAACCTAGAGCATCCCTCACAGGTATTTGTCTAACCTGTTCTTAAACACCTCATATGATGGGGATTACACAGCCTCTTTTGGAAGCCTATTTCAGTGCTTATCTATCCTTATAGTTAGAAGACTTTTCCAAATATCTAACCTAAGTCTCTCTTGTTGCAGATTAAGCCCATTACTTCTTGTCCTTCATGTCCACTGTAGATATAGGACAATTGATTACTGTCCTCTTTGTAACAGCCTTTAATGTATCTAAAGACTTACGAGGTCCCCCCTTCAATCTTCTTAGGACTAAACATGCCCAGTTTTTAAAAAATCTTTCCTCACAGGTCAGGTTTTCTACATTTATCTGTTTTGTTGCTGACCTCTGAACTCTCTCCAATTTGTTCACATCTTTCTTAAAGTGTAGTGCCCAGAACTGTACACAGTACTCCTAGTAAGTGTCGAGTAGAGCAGAAAAATTTCCTCCCTGGTCTCACATACAAAACACTCCTGTTAATATACCCATAATACTAACCCTTTTTGCAGCTGCACCACATTGTTGGCTCATATTCAATTTGTGATATTCTATAATCCCCAGATCCTTCAGTACTGCTGCCTAGCTAGTTATTCTCCATTTTATATTTGTGCATTTGATTTTTCCTTCTTAAGTGTAGTACTTTGCACATCTTTATTGAATTTCATCTTGATTTCAGAGCAGTTCTCCAATTTGTCAAGGTAATTTTGAATTCTAGTCTTGTCCTCCAAAGTGCTAAGAATCCTTCCCAATTTGGTGCCATCCACAAATTTTATAAGCATATGCTCCACTCCAAGTCATTTATGAAAATATTCACTGGTATTGAAGCCAGAACAGACCACTGTGGGACCCCAGTAGCTACATCCCTCGTTTGACAGTAAACAGTTTATAACTACCTTCAACTAGGTTTGCACCCAACTTACAGTAATTTCATCTAGATCACATTTCCCTAGGTTGCTTAGGAGAAGGTCACATAGTACTGTGTCAGAAACCTTACTAATAGCGCATAGACAGCTTCCTTCGTCCAATAGGCCAACAACAGTGAAAAAGAAATTAGATCAGCTTGGCATGATTTGTTCTTGACAAATCCATGTTAGTTATTATCTTCTAGGTCAGGGGTCAGCAACCTATGGCATGCGTGCTGATTTTTAATGGCACACTGCTGTCTGCTGGGGACCCCGGCAGACAGCAGCATGCCATTAAAAATCCGGCCCGGCCTGCTCTTCTCCGGCCCCCTGCCTACCACTCCCTCCTTGCAGGGCAGGCAAGCTTCCCCCCACCTCTTCCCCCAGCTGGGTTCCTGCCCCTCCTCCTCTCCCTCCCTGTGACCGATCAGCTGAGGGCCCTTGCTATGGAGGGGAAAAGGGAAAAGTGGAGCTGCAGTGTGCTCTCTGCTCCGGGGACCTTGGGGAAGGGGGTGGAATCAGCATGTCCCCTCCTGCTGTGAGCCACTCAGGGCAGGGGGCTGGGAGCACCTCCACGACCCCAGCCCATACTCCCAGCCCTGACCTCCCTCACCCCCTACACACACCCAGCCTCCTGCCCTGACCCCTGCACCCCCCCACACCCTATGCCTTGGCTATTGCACCCCCCACCCAGAGCACCAAACGGGAGCTCCTGCACACACGCCCCTCCCCACCTGCACCCCTTGCACCAATGGAGCTGCCCAGGTAAGCACTCCACACCGAAACCTCCTGCCCCAACACTGAGCTCCCGCCCTCATTCTAGCTCCTAGCCAGACCCTGCACCCCAACCGCCAGCCTGCTCCTTCACCCCCAGCCCTGTTCTCAGCCCACTCCCACCCTCATCTCAGTGCAGAGAGGGGAAGAAAATGGGCTAGAACCAGGGAGAAGGTAGGTACCCACTGTACGTGGACAAGGCCGGGACCCCAGAATGGCAGCGGGCTGAGCCGCTCAGCCCACTGCTGGTCTGGGGTTCTGGCTGCCGGCCCCTTGCCAGCCGGGGACCTGTCCGCAGGCCCCGCTCAGCCTGCTGCCAGCCTAGGTGAACAGAACTCCAGGCCGGCAGCGGGCTTGCGGTGTAAGGTCAGCATTTTAATTTAATTTTAAATTAAGCTTCTTAAACATTTTGAAAACCTTGTTTACACATACGACAATAGTTTAGTTATACAGACATAGAGAGACACCTTAGTTTAGTTATATAGACATAGACACCTAAAAAACGTTAATGTATTATTGGTACACAAAACCTTAAATTAGAGTGAATAAATGAAGACTCGGCACACCACTTCTGAAAGGTTGCCAACCCCTGCTCTAGGTGATTATAAATGATCAATCATTTGTTCCAGTATTTTCCCAGGTATCAAAGTTAGACAACTGGTCTATAATTCCCTGAGGTCCTCTCCTCCCCTCCCCCTTTTAAAAGATATATTGTGTTTTCCTCTCTCTCTCCTAACAGAGGTATCAGAAATCAAAACTTTTAAGTATTACAGAGATATTTGGAGTAATTTTTTGAAATTTTAACATTTAGAATTTCACCCCACCTGGGGTTTGGGATGCATGGTGCAAAGGGAGCCTGACATTACAAGGGCCAGGATAAAAAACAGAATCAATAATAGTTGTGAAACACTAAATTGTTCCCTCTGTAAATAGGGGGGCATAGCCAAGATACATAATGCTGTGGGGGTAGTGTACAGATTTTATTGGCACTCGTTTGGGATGATCTGGGCAAACTCACTTGTAAGCATAAGTGGTGAAACCAATGTACTCATCCCAAACTCATACTGATAAAAACCCCTCTTCTTAACAGTTGTGGTGCTCAGAATAAGTACTGGGGCTGCAGGTAGCAATCTGCAACCCTTCCCTACACCCTATCCTAGAAGTTGACTATATTTTCAAAGAGAACGTGAGGACACACTGGGCAAAGGCATCACTGGAAGCCTTTTGCTGGGGATAAGGCGGGGAACTGGGCAGCAAAAGAGGTGCACCTTCCAACTCAGCCCATGTCTCCTTGTTTGTCCCACTAATCAACTAGTACCTCATTGCACTCAACCCATCCCCCAAGCAGCTTAGAAACTTCAGGCTTCCTCAACTCCCTCCAAACCAACTCCCACCTACTCAGAAGTACTCCTCATCCCCCAACTTGCATACTACCTACTTTACTTCTCCACAGGTCAGCTCCAGGGCTGGATTACCCAGTAGGTAGACTAAGCACGTGCTTAGGGCACCAGCAAAGCAGGGGGCACCCCAAAAAAAAGTTTGGGGGGCAGGGAATTGGATATTTCAAAAAAAGCATTGAAGTAGTCATCATGGGAAAAATCAGAACTTTGTTAGACTTCCTTACACTCCACTACACACTTTCTCAAAGTGCAGATGTCAATCTTATGACAACGCTGCCAACATGTCAGGGCGTTATCAAGGAATGCAGAAGCAGCTTTTAGAACAGAACAAATATGCCCTATTCATATCATGTGCTGCACACTTTCTCAATCTTGCTGGCCACAGTGCTGTTGATTGTTGTCCAGTGGCAGTAAGTTTTTTCTCAACAGTCCAGTTACTTTATACATTTTTCTCTGCCTCAACACATTGATGGGCAGTTCTTAAAACGTATTTGGGCAATGATCTTGTGTTGAAATCTCTAATACTCGCTGGGAGGCACATGCAGTGGCAACAAGTGCAATTCTGGAGTCCTACTCAAAGATTGTGGATGCATTAGGAAGTATAGCTGAAGACCAATCACAAAAGGGAGAAACTATACTAGAAGCAGAAAACATTGCAAACAAGATGCAAGAACTAGAGTTTGAATTCATGTTGACCATGTGGAATGAAATTTTACAACACTTTTACCACACAAGTCAAGCTCTCCAAGAAAAAGAATTGAATTTGAAAACATGTGCCAGACCTCTGTCAATCATTAGCAGACCACTTACACACTTTGAGGAATGATTTTGAAAGATTTGAAGACCTATCAAAAGACATCTTGCCTGATACTAACTACAAAGAAGCCCAGTCCCGCAAGCAAATCAGGAAAAAACAAGCAAATGATAGCAGTGCAACAGAAACAGCATTGAATCCTAGAGACAAATTTTGCGTATCTACTTACTACGCTATAATTGATACACTTGAAGCTCATAAGAAGAGGAGAGGTGAAATGTACAAAAGTATCAAGTAGATAGTCTTTTCTAAACGATATGGACTTATCTGACGAACAGTATTCACAACGTTCCCAAAAGCTAGTTGACTCATACTCTGTTGACTTGAACATGAATCTCTTTGAAGTATGGCAGTTCCACAGTTGCATGCGTGCAAAGTTTAATGAAACAGGAAAAATGAAATTCAGTCACATGGATCTTCATGACACAATATTGAAAGACGGAATACAATGTGTATTTTCAAACGTAGAGATCGCACTACGTATTTTTCTAACATTGATGATTACTGCTCCGCAGAATGCTCTTTTTCTCAGCCAAAAAGAATAAAAAACCCTTAGAGAACAACAATGTGTCAAGACAGACTTGGTTCACTTTCCCTATTGTGTATGGAAGCAGACATGCTTCGTCGAGTCAGCTTCGATGAATTTATCCAGAATTTTGCAATCAGAAAATCTAGAAAGAAGCTATTTTAATTTCAGCATACATGTAAGTTTTGTGTCATTTCGAAACATTTTATTTTACAGTATTTTTATTTTGAACAACATAGGGGGGACACCATAATCTTTTCAGTGCTTAGGACCTCTAAAGGTATTAATACGGCCGCTTTGGTTGGAAGTGAACTCTTCCAACCAAACACTCTCATGCTAAGAATACACTATTTCCCCCCCCCACATGCTCCCTAACACTCAAAATTCTTCCTGAGTCTGGAAAAGCAGGGGCAAAGCTAGCAGGAAGTCTGAGCAGTGACAGGGTGGTCTGGTGTTTTGTGGGGTAAGTATTTTAGGGAAGGTTTCGGTCATCAGTAAAACATATGCATGCGCTATGATTAAATCAGTGAATGTGATACAAATGGAGTAGGGAAGATTCATTTGTTTTGGGATTTTCCCTTTCTTTTTTGGCTCTTTTGGGAATCAAAACAGGCAGATTCCTGACACTTAGGAATCAGTTGAGTTGCCTTAACCACCATTTGTCTCAAAAAGATGGGGGCTAATTGTCCCGATTTAATCCTCAACAAATCTCATGTGGCCCCTGAAGAAAGCAGTGTCTGTTGCCAGTCAGGACCAGATAAAAAAAATAGTACAGGTCTTTGGGAGGAGAGCAAGTCAAAGGTTGGAAGCTGCTAGCCATCTGCTTCCAAATGTGGGGACAGTGAAGTTAAAACCCTGGAGGGCTGCAGTTGGAAAACCCAGCTGGGGAATCTGAATTGTGACAGAGGGAGCAGAGAAGGGAAGCGTTGGAATCTTTTGGTACATTTACTCTTCCAGCTCAGGGGAGAACAAATGAAAACATCTATTCCACCTTAGAGAGAGAGCGCGTGAGAGAGAGAAAAGGAATGGACTGGTGACTATTTTCAGGGTGCATCCCTTTGACAAGCGAACAGCCCTACTCTTTTCCTTTGAGGGGCTAGCCCCTTGGAAACGGCATTCCTGTTCTGTGCCTTTGCTGCATGAAATTATTTCCTGAAGAGCCAGAAGTGGCTCAACAGTAGCCAGGTGTGCTGCACCTCCAGCCAGTGGCAGCAGCTGGTACTTCAGGGTGCTGTACATAAGAAAAAAAACCCCACAGAGATGTGGCTTAGCTCCATTAATCCCGAAGCACCATCCACCTCATTTGTACCATACCACAGCACCATGTCTGTGTGTGGACAGGTGTACATGGCCCATTTATATTTTTCCCCCATATTTAATTGTACCCAGCCAGGCAAAAATGAAGGTCACTTTCCACAGTGAAGGAGGAACACAAGTGTTAAGTAAGGCTTGTGTGGTAAGCTGCCTGTATGTTTACCTTGATGGCCAGTAATAAAAAAACAGAAAAGTTAACTGTTTACCAGATAGGCCTGGATGAGGTCAGTTTCCAAAGTATCCTGTCCAATCACCATCTTTGGAGTTTCTTTTTCAGGAGGTTGTGCGGGAAACAGTTTTGCTAAAGCACCAACTCATTAAAATGCTTCTGAGTATGCAAAAATATTAATTTGCACTTGACAAGTATGGAATCACTTTTGGTAAATTGATTGGTTTAGCAACATACCCACACAAAGGATAAAGCCCTGAATAAATCACAACAAATAAAAATACTGTTAGCAGTTTCATAATTTAATGAAAAAGTACTTGTAAAAAGGGGACATCTGTAAAAGACTGATTCCATCTTGGAAAATTGTGTGTGCGCGCGTGTGTATATATAAAAACAAAATGCAAAACACAAAATTAACAAATAAGGTTAAGAGGTAATACTTCAAACAGTTAGCCACCGAACACACAATAAAAACTAGCAAGTACACTTTGGGGACTATATTTAAGAACTACAAAACCAAGGGCTCCTTCATGTATCTATTAAAATCATGTAAAAATAGCAAAACTATTGCCCCCACTGGAAAGAGTTACATCCCCAATGAAGCAAAAATTTGAATTTTTGCTGAAGCACCATTTCCCTCCCCTCATCTTTTTCATATGCTGCTGGACATGAAACATGACTGCTCTGCTGGCCTCCAAGATAAATGTTCCCAAGATAAGCTGCACAGAATTTTGTGGCCGGAAAAAGGATTAATAATAAATATTGAAGGAGAACTAAGAATCAGAGCTAGAATACAAATGTGTGGATATTTGTTTACTCATTCTGAATGACCCATGGCTTAGGAACAAAAAGTACTTCCCATTAAAATAAAATATATGGAAACCTAAAAATGCTACTGCGTATTTACACCAAAAGAAAATTTGAAAATACATCTCTAGAAAGACAAATTACACAAATATACAGAAAATCAAGACATGAAAGAAAATTAAGGGTTCATGAAACAAAGAGCACAGAACTGCAAAGTTTATTTTGTATTTCCCTACTTGAAGCGTTGTCTAGCTCCTGACCAGTAACTATTGTGAGGAAAATTTCCAAGTTAAATCATCTAAAGTATTTTTTTGTACTTTCCCAAATTAAGGCTTTTAAGAAAAATCAAGCTGTCATTTGTATTCTGCTAAACGTCTTTACATTGGGAGTTTAACATTTCCTTTTTGGATGAAATTCATCCCAAGCAAAGGAGGCTATAATGCAAGGCTCTCTGCAATGCCTATGCTCCATTTCAGCCCTTGATGCGGGACAGTGGACTTTGCCCATTTCATCAGTCACACGACAGAATTACTCTTGGTTAACAGAACTTACTTTTTTTTTATTCAAACAAAACAAATCACATGCTGTAAAGAAGAAAATGGGACTTTTTGCTGAGGTTGGGTGAAAGTTAGCATATTAGCATTTGCAACTTTTAAAATTTGTGCAAAGCACTTTTAGTTTGGGAAACAGAAACTAAGTAGAGGTGGCTAAGCAGCTTAACGTAGTCATAGGTCTTACATATGTTTCCAGATTTATCTAGCAATAAAAACGTGCTTCAAATAATGACTGGCTAAATTTTTTCAAACCTATGTTCCTAAAGTTAAGCTCCTAAACCCCTATTTAGTCACCTAGGCTTGGAAATTTTAGCCCACAGAAAAAAGGTCAGACAAAATGATTTTTAGTTCAAGCTTATTTTTTAACATACCAGGTATAAATGCCTCCAGATGTGAAACCTCAAGTTTCAAGAGGAACCTGGCATCATCGGTGATTGCCTAAAATTTAAGTGTCAAATCGCATTTTTCTTTGAAGTAGTACATCTACTTTTGTAAACACTATCCACAAATTTAGTCATCTTTACTTGTTAGCTGGGTAAAATATTTACAAGTGCATCCCACAACAAGCAACTATGTACAAAGATAAAAAAACGGAAGTACTAGAAGTTGAATATTTACAAAATAAAGTGAATTACTGTCAAGAGAAACACAGCCTTTAGCCAGAGCAAAGTATGGGGGCACATCTAGAGGTCAGTGAGTTTGGCAGCATTTGTGATGCTTGCTTCTACGCTGCAGAGAGGAGTTACAAGCATCACTGGAGTTCTAACCTTTCTGCAGAACAGAATCCCCATTTAGTAGTCACTTAGACCACAGTCCAACAGAGAATTTAAACATGTGCTTTAAATTTAAAGTGTGTGAGTACTCCCACTGGAGTCAATGGAACTATTCATGTGCTTAAAGTTTTAAGCACATGCTTAAGTTTTTGCTGATCAGGGTCATATTGCAGGTGCAACAGGAATGCAGTTTTAGTGTCTGCATTAATCTTTTACAGCATGTTACAGAGCAATGCAAGGACTCCTTTAATACCTGGTCCAGCAGCACAAAATTGACATTTTTAACAATGCCTTACACAAAAGCAGGTAAAAAGGAAGCAGCTCCTGGAGTTATGCAAAGATTAACAGCTCCATACTCTCCCAGATGTTAACCTGTAATAAAGCATATTGATTTCTACACAACCTTGACTATCCCTTTAAAATCGCAAGCCAATTCACTACTGAAAACTACTCTCTTTTTCACTGCATTTCTTCCTAATGTAAATCCTACACTGTTTTCTGAAACCCTCTGATGCCTAGGTTTGCGCCAATACACTGAATTATGCAAAGGCTGAGTTACCCCTTAGGGGTTTATAATCACCTTTGTACTGAACTGTGAGAAATTATATTTTTTTTGTTTCTATTGTGACAATCTCTACCAAAGTCTTTACTTTGGCTTTCTCTCTCTGAGCTGCTTCTCCTTAATCTGACTTGTTCTTTATTCTCATCACTTTCAGCTTCAGAGTCACTTAGCTCCAAATCAGGGCAATACCCATCATTATCCTGGTATGGAGCTCCTCCTGTCTGGAATTCAAGAGTCTGCTTGCTCCACAAACGTTCTTTTGTTGAAAGCCTCCTTGTTGGCTTTTCACAGCACCTCAGATCTTCTGTGGTCCTCACCAAACTGTTGGTAGCCTCTTTAAAGGACCTGCTAAAATGTTCTATTGTAGATTTTCTAAAATTGCTTTGACTAGCCAAATGAGCAGTGAGCACAGATTCTTGTTCATAGGGTGTCTGGCTGGACCTGTCTCTCTGAGTTACATCTCCAGCCCTGCCCATTAAGCCATTGGATTTCTTAAGTCTTGAGTTCTCTTGCTGCATTTTTCCATTCCCAATGGAAGACTGTCCATGCAATGCAGCTTGAAGTGCTAATGGTTTACCAGATGACTGCCCACGATGAAACTCTGGTGACTGTGCAGGTCCAGAATCTTTTGTTTCATTCCTAGTCTTGCCAATCCCTACCAATAACCCATTACTTCGGTTGTCATGCGGATACCTAGAGTATGATTTTGCTTTAATTTCAAATGACTCCTTTGACATCTGCACGTTCCTTTTGTTATAAACGGTGATGTTGTCAGGAGAAAGGGGTCTGTTGCCAGGTTTCATCGAGTTATTTCTGCAGTCACCCAGTGCCGATTTGGGCATTTTTAATTTCAAGGTGATTCTGGGAGGTGGGTAGAACAGTGTGTTCTCTAGTGCACTTGTCAGAGAATGGCCTGAGAGAGAAAACAGAAAAGATGTATTTAAAAGGTGGTAAGACTTTCCTTAAACTTAGTTAATAGTTTTCCTGCCTTTAAAGAGCGCACACACATTAAGGAGCATTTTCAATTAGTCTAACAATTACTACTGAGGTGCATTTAGGATGTTAAGGAGAAGCTGTTAACTAAAAATTAAATTGTTCCAAAGCACCAAACAGAACTTATGGAAGCATTTTAATATTTCTACTCTGTAAGGACAGTTTTTTCTTCAAATTTATAGCATAAAGCTAGGTATGCTTTAAAACGTTTTTCACCCAACATATTACAGACTGTATTATATAAATGCACAGCCCCTGCATTCAGTTAAAAATAGTCATACAGAGTACATATTCTTCCTCATTCCAGAAGCTTCAATCATTGTTTCATGACGTTCACTAGAAAAAGCAAGGCACACAGTTGTTTTGGGAACATCAGCGTTCCAGGGCAGCTACTATCCATTTTTAACTTCATAAAACATTATGTGGGGTGGACAAAAATGACAAATTGCAAACTGAGAAACTCGTTTGAAACATTCATGACCTATGAAAGGAGACATGAGAATAGTGTGAATTTTTGTCAATCATTTTCCCCATCTCTGTCTGAAGGAAACAATTAACAGCAAGTGAGCAATTTTCCTTCAACTGGGGAGCGACCAATAGACGTGTGCAATATATAGCCACTGTGGGGAAAATGGGAGCATAGAACGGTAACCCAAAGAGAAAATCCCACAACCTGCCTGATGCAGATACCAGTAATACAGCTGTGGTGCCTAGATGCTACAGTGATTGGTATTCCATCCTATCCTAGATATTTATGGGGTGCCATATACAGATGAGATACCAAAGTATGACTCTGGAGAAGATGAAAATGCTCTGCATGTGCCACTAATTAGGAAAGCTGGCAAGGAGAGTGCATACTCACAAGAGCCCATTAAAAACACAGGTTCACAGTGTTTAAAATGCCAACAGTGACCTGGGGCAGACATACCCAGAGTCAGAATCTTTAACCGATACAATTACTGGTATTTTGTATGTATAGATTACCTGCTGCAATTTCCTGATTAATGAGCTGGACTTGCAAATTGAAGACTTGTTCGTGTACTTTACTGTGGGACAGTTTCAGTTTCTCTCTTCTGCTCACCATGTAGCAGAGATTCCGTACCTACAGTTTAAAAAAAAAAAATTCTAGAATTTTCTTTTTTTAAAAAGTGGTCAAGAATGTTACATTAACATTTGAATTCTCGAACAAAGCATCTTCACACATGTAGAGAAAGCCCTATAATCAAAAAGCTCCATGGTGAATTTCATAGAATCATATGCAACTATAAGCCAAGTATTTTCAATTGCAAGGATTTTTTTTTTAAATCATTAAAGAAGATGCTAAAAGCGATCTGCAAAGCAGTTGGTCAAAGTCCCATCTATATTAGCAACAAGTGAACAAATAAGTAGGTTAAAAGAAGAGCCATCAAGCAGATTTTAGAACTCACTTACACCCCCCCCCCCCGCCCTCCTTTCTTAAACCCCACACCACATAGCCCATTCAGATCACCAGC